GTTTGTTGAGATGGGTTCCTGCTTTTTAGCCCGACTGGCCTTGATCTACCTACCTCAGATCTTCCTGCCACATCCGGCTGTTTCAAAGCCTTTGTGTCACCTCTGCATTTCTAACATGCCTCTTTAAACAGTTGTAGATCTGCTTTCCACAGCTACAGGTCACTCTTTCCTGCCCCACAACCTCCCAGGAATGGAATTACAGTGTCATTGTTTTTGTGATTAGCCTCTTTTATTTAGTATGTTTTACATTTTATTCATATTGTTAGGGGCTGGGGGATGGTTCGGTGGGGAAAAGAGCTTGCCCCCCATACCGACTCCATAAAATTGTCCCCTGACTTCAACATGTTTGCCATGACACATGTACTCTCACCCACAATCATGATTTTTTTAAAAATATAAATATTAGGGCCTAGAGAGATGGTTTAGTGGTTAGGAACATTTGTTGCTCTTGCAAAGAAATTTCCAGCACCTACATGGTGGTTCAAATCCATCTATAATTTCACTTTCCGGGGACCTAATACCTTCTCTGACTCCCTCAGGCACCAAGCACTCTCGTGGTACACAGACAAACATGCACATAAAACACTCATATACATAAAATTAAAACTATAAAACAACCTGGGCAGTGGCGGCACAAGTATGTGAGTTTGAGGACAATTTGGTCTACAGAGTTAGCTCTAGGCCAGCCAGGGCTACGTAGTAAAACTTAGTCTCAAAATAACAAAATATATGTAGTTTTGTTTGATACACACACACATACACACACACACCCCAAAATATAGTATGGTAGCGAATGCCAAGCCTTCAAAATAAAATGCAATAAAAATTTTAAATAAAATGTAAAATGTACCCACATTGCAGTAGTTCCTTTTTCAAAACAGACAAAAAAATAGTTTCCTTTTATTATTGCTGAGTATTATTCCATTGTATGGATTTGTTGATCCATTCACCTGTTGATAGACAATTGGATTATTTCCAGCTTGGGTCTATTATGAGTAAAGCTGCTGTGAGTTGTGTAACATTTACCCATTTCATGTCCCCCACCCTCCCCACCCTGCAGTGGCTGGAATTCCTGGCAGTGGGCTCACCGGGTCCAGCGTTTAACTCTACAAACTGAAGAGCTGTCTTTCCAAACACAGGTTTCATTTATACTTACATTTTCCCTCCAGAATCAGATGTATTTCTTTGGTGTAAAATGCTATACTCACTCACCTCAGGTTGCCCCAGTCCAAAATAAAAGATATACCAGTGAATGTCATTTTAGCTGGAGGAAAGGAAGAAGCTCCGTCTGCAGGTGGCCTTGCCTTCTGCTCCAGTGACTATCAATAACTTTGCAGGATGAGTTTCAAGCTCGGTCCTTTGGATGGAAAACAGCTTCCAGGTAAGGCATGGCTGTTGTTGCTTTGGGGCTGATAAGATTACAGTTCTGTCTACATCCTCCTGGCCAGATGTTGGAGAAGACCTCAGAGTGCTCTCAAGATCATAAAGTAAGCCTGGGGTAATGATGGCCAGGACCAGGCAGCATACAGCAACCATGACTGCTTATATAGAGAGATACATAAAGATGCAGATTTGTTTTGTTTTGAGACAGGCTTGTTCTATAATCCAGGATGGCCTACCACTTGCAATCCTCCTGTCTCAACATCCAGAATACAGGAATTACCCCTATGTACTACCACCTGCCACTCAGACCAGCTTTGGGGGTTGGGTGGGGGGGTTGAAAGATGCTTTTCTTTAAGTTTTATGTGTATGAGTGTTTTGTGAGCATGTATGTCTGTGCATCACATATATGCCTGAAGCCTAAGGAAGACAGGGGAAGGCACTGGATCCCTTCAACTGCGGTTACAGCTGGTACAGAGTTGACATGCAGGTGCTGGAAACCAAACCCAGGTCCTCTGCAAATTCTCTTAATCCCTGAACCAGTTCTCCAGCCCCAGGCTGGGCACAGTCCTTGGCAGAGTGCTTCCTTAGTCTGCACGAGGCCCTAGATCCAATTCATAATAAAAACTCTCTCTCACACACACACTCAAGCATGTGTGTGCACACACGTAAGTATAAAAACAAAAATTTTAAAGTGGTCAGGCAGCAAGACAGCTCAGTGGCTGAAAACACTTACTACACAAGCCAGCCTGACCACCTGAGTTTGGACCCTGGAACCCATGAAGGAAGAAAAGAACTAATTCCCAAAAGTTGTCCTCTGACTTCCACATGTATGTGATGATGACACATATGTAGGGGGACACACATGATAATAATAAATGATGTTTTTAAAAATCCAACGGGCTGGAGAGATGGCTCAGTGGTTAAGCCCTATTATATATTGTTCTTCCAGAGGTCCCAAGTTCTGCTCCTAGCACAAACCAGCCCTCCCCAGGGCACCTCATAACCACTGTAACTCGAGTCCCAGGGGAGATCTGGATTCTGCGGGTGTTTGTATACATGTGCACGCATGCACCCACCCACACTTGCACACATGTGTGCACACAGCCACATATACCTGTGTTGTTTTTGTGACAGGGTTTCTCTGTAGCTTGGCTGTCCTGGAACTTGCTCTGTAGACCAGGCTGGACTCGAACTCCACAGAGATCCACCTGCCTCTGCCTCCCGAGTGCTGGGATTAAAGGTGTGCACCACTACGTGGCTTTAGAACATTTTTTTTTTAATCTTAGGAGACATTCAAGGCCTCCTGCACCCCAGTCTCAGAACTGCCTCCAATCCCCAAGTTCTCTGCTCACTCGATGAGCCCATGAGGGGTCCAGGCTCTAGTCACTGCAGAAAGGCCGCATTCCCAAAGTGGGGTGAAAGGCTGTGACAGGTGGAGCCTTCACGTGAAGGCGCTGAGAGAGAAGGGTTGGGGTTGTCAGCTGCCCATAGAGGAAGTCTCAGAAGCGCTGTGTTTTGGAAGGGTCTAGAACAGACAGACCAGGAAAGCTTCTCTTTCTTAGCTGGTGAGGGCACAGACTAGGGATACTAAGTGACCCCAGTGCCCACTCCAGTGTGGAAAGCCAATAGCAGAAGCAGACCCATGACCCTGAGGGCTATATTCTCCCCTCCTGAGTGTACAGCCCCCTAACACAGACTACACTTCCCAGGCTGCATGTGTCCATGACAATAGACACAGGAGCCCATTCTGCCTACAGGTTAGTCCTGAACTCTCCTGAGACATAGTGGGGCTGTGAAGTCCTCTACCCTTCCAAGCAAGGAAGACACTGTGTGAGTTCCAGGACAGCCAGGGCTACACAGAGAAGCCCTGTTTTGAAAAACTATTTAAGAAAAAAAAATGCTGCCTTGAATCAGTTACAATTCTGCTATGAACTTACTAGATACAGATACAGGCCCCTGCATATGACCGACCTTGTGTGACTGATGCAGGACACTGGCTCCACAGTCCGATAGCCAGATTGAGGTGTCTGGGACACAGAGCTTCCCAGTCCAGTCCTTTTTCAGCAGGGCTAAGAAGGGCCAGTACCACCAGCTCTGGGTACTGTCAGCAACACCTCCCAGGCTGCCCAGTACTATCTGGGCAGGGGACTGGGTCCTGGAGATTGTAGAGGCTCCTCTGGCATCAGGAGTTAGTGGGGGACAGGGCAGGGTGGCCATGGGCTCCCTACCTCTTTTCCTGCCCTAGCCACCACTCTGATACTTTCCCACCCCCTGCAGGCACAGAGTCGGGTGGGGTGGGGTGGGGTGGGGTCTGGTGGGCTTTTTCCAGGCTGATGAAATAGGGTTGCGCTGGGACCATTCTGGGACAGTTAGGAGAGACGAGAAGGGATCCTGAGCCTCCACGGCTGAGGACAGAAGCAAGTGACAGAGGTCAACGGTGCCCCTCCTCACATCCTGTTTCCAGAAGGTGGGGTCCCAGCACGTGCTGTTTTCTTGGATTTCATCCAGGGTAGCACCCCCACACCCAGGCTGTTTCTAAGGGACCCTGCAGGAGGGTGGAAATGTCCAAGGCCACACCCATGCTGGAGTTCACCAAAAGTTTTTCCAGGCTGGGCTAGACCACTGACTGAGCAATGGGAGAGAACATATTTCCCATTGGGGACCCCCTGTTAACAGACAGAAACCCATGCAGGCCTTTGTGAGGGATATCCCAGAGAACATGGGGACTAGCAAATGTCCCCTTTGCAGGCATAAGCATAGCCCACCTCCAATGCTGGTACCCTCAGCCCCACACAAGACCCTGGGGAAGCCCAACCCAGCTGAAGTTCCCTGGCATGCTGAGCTGCTATCCAGGCTGAGTTCGCTGACAAGACCACCCTTCCCTTGCCTACTCAGGCCGCCCTCCCCTCGTGGATCTTCCTGATTCTCCTCCTGCTGGAAAGCCTGCACATAGATGTGTGAAGACCTTCAACGGAGAACCCTTGGCGGAAGCCCTGACAGCTGACGAAGCGCCACACTCCTCACAGGAAATCTAGAAATTTCGGGCCAGGAGAGACCAGAGCCTTTGTTTAACCACGGAAGCCAGCCATCTCCACATGCTGTCCACATGGAGTTCTTCTAGGCACAGAATTGTAGGTTTCCATAACATAGTTGAGACCTGAATGTTAAGATGGGCTGATAAGCTGGGCATGGTGGTACATACCTAACGTCCTGGCACTTAGGAAGCTGAGGCAGGAGGATCTTCCAGGGCAGCCTGGCCTATACAGTAGGGTCCAGGCCAGCTTGAACTGCACAGTGAGACTCTGTCTCAGAATAAACAGTAAGATGGATCTTGGAATTTAGCTGGCTCAGATGGCAGACCAAGAGACCCTGACCCAAACGACCTAAATGGCTCATCCAAGGTCGAGTGTGGTAGAGCCAGAGCCAAACTCTATCTCTGCCTCACACGACCACCTCCCGTCAGTTGTGTGTACCTAGTCTTCAGCTTGGGGAGTCTGTGGGAGGGTCCCCACGATCCCCCTGCCCCCCTCAATAAAAGATGTGACTCTGGTTACCTCAGTCCATCACTAGACGGACTGTCCCATGGCTATGGGACAAGCATGAGGGGGGGTGAAGGACAGAAAGGGAAGACCGGCAAGGGGTGTGGCCCTGGGTCTGTTTCCAGGGTGGAACCAAACCGCAGGTCACCCTGTCCCTTTAAGAGAAGGGGGAGAGCTAGCCCCTCTCAGCCATCCTGTCCTGTCATCCATCCCAGCCAAATCCAAAAAGGAAAATGAAAGAGGGACCGACAGGAACAGGTCCCAGCTGTCTCCCAAGCGCCCGCGCTCAGCTCTAAGCACAAGGCCCAGGGTAAGTGTGGTCGGAGGACCTTAGAGGGTCTACGGGGACATGTGTTCTGTATGCCAGGGGAGGCTTAGAAGGAGATGCTTGACAACGGGTTCGAGGGAGCTGTTCCCGTTCCCCTTGGCCCGAGGTAGGAGAGGAAAGGGGGGTCAACGGCAGAGATTCCTAAGATAACAGGCTTCTGTGTCAGCCCCCAAAGGAGTTCTCCACGGTGAGGAAGGAAAGAAAGGACAGTGGGGGCTGGCCCGGCTGGAACCAGGTCTCCAGCAGCCGCTCTTGCTCCTAGAAATCATCCTTGCGCAAAGAGGCAGGCAAGGGCTCGCCCTGCAGAAGAGCCTAGAATCTGAGAGATCATAGGGTCTAGACAAGCGGGCCCGGGCGGGGGTGGGGAGGAACCCCTCCTCAACACCTCTCTAAGCCTAGATGAAGGGATCCCATAGCTGAGGATGGACTCACCTACATCACACTCAGACATTAACGCATTGAACCCCACAAAATCTCTGACCCCTGGTTCCCTCCAAGGTTAGAGATTGTGGCGGGCGTGGAGGGGCGAGGGGCCAGTCCTTCCCAGCCTCTGACTACCCCTCTCCCTCGTCCCCAGCGCCATGGGGGAGTGGGCGTTCCTAGGCTCCCTGCTGGACGCGGTGCAGCTCCAGTCGCCGCTCGTGGGTCGCCTCTGGCTGGTGATCATGCTGATCTTCCGCATCCTGGTGCTGGCCACGGTGGGAGGTGCCGTGTTCGAGGACGAGCAGGAGGAGTTCGTGTGTAACACGCTGCAGCCCGGCTGTCGCCAGACCTGCTACGACCGCGCCTTCCCGGTGTCCCACTACCGCTTCTGGCTCTTCCACATCCTGCTGCTGTCGGCGCCGCCGGTGCTGTTCGTCATCTACTCCATGCACCAGGCCAGCAAGGAGGCGGGTGGCGCGCAGCCGGCCACGCCGTGCACGCGCGGGCGTCCCGAGGCCCCGTGCGCCCCGTGTTCCCTGCGTGCCCGCCGCGCGCGTCGCTGCTACCTGCTGAGCGTGGCTCTGCGCCTGCTCGCCGAGCTGGCCTTCCTGGGTGGCCAGGCGCTGCTCTACGGCTTCCGCGTGGCCCCGCACTACGCGTGCGCCGGCCCGCCTTGCCCGCACACCGTCGACTGCTTCGTGAGCCGGCCCACCGAGAAGACGGTCTTCGTGGTCTTCTACTTCGCCGTCGGGCTGCTCTCGGCGCTGCTCAGCGTGGCCGAGCTGGGTCACCTGCTCTGGAAGGGTCGCCAGCGCGCGAAGCTGCTCCCGCCGCCGCCGCCGCCCGATCTGCCTTCGCAGCGAGCGGACCCCGATCCCTTCGGCCCGCCCGCCTACGCGCACCGCGCACCGGCCGGCGACAGCGAGGGCGAGGGCGGCAGCGGCCACAGCAAGGCGTCGCTGGCCACCGTGCGTCAGGACCTGGCCATCTAGCGGCGAGGTCCGAGGCCCATCCTTCAGCACCGGGGGTCCAGGGAGGCAGCAGCGTGAAGTGGCTTCCGAAAGACTGCGTAGGACCCTCCCTGAGCTGACGATGAACAGAGGGGACCCCACCACCACCACCAGAAGATGGGGGACCGCCGGGTTCGGGCCGGGGTGGCGTCGCACTTCCCAGTGCCGGTTGCAGCGGAATGCCGGGGCTGCTTTGAGTCAGGGAGGCTCTTTCGTTCTGTGATCCCAGCGGAAAGGGAGGATGTGAGAGGAAGCAGGCAGGCCAAGGGCAATGGGTGACCTGATTGTTTTAGCGGGGGCGAAATCAGCAGTGATGGCAGCATTCCCAGGTCCCCTGCTTGGTCAGAGAAGTGTACTTCTCTGTGGGCTCTCCGTGCACACATACATGCACATCTGGATACACTGCGATGGGTTGGCCGCTCGTGCACATTAAACCTCTGTGGACTGTGTGTGCGTGCATATATGTACACCCGCTGAGGGTGCACACTAGTATACACCTCCCAAGTAACAGGAGGTACAGACCTGTATTCATGCATGTGTCTACACCATGTACATGGGTGTCCTTGTGAACTCTGTGCAAGCATGTATGCATGCACCCTGTGTAAGCTTTGTGTACACACCTATACACACACTATCTGTGTGTGCATCAGCTAACACTCATTCGCTACCAGAACCCCCGCCCCCCCCCCAGAATGGAGGGGAAGGAGGGTCCTGTACAACGGTCACCCTGTAGGTTTGGGAGACCATTCATGCTCTGCACCCAGTGGCCTGGCAGGATAGCCAAGCCCCACAGCAGAGGCAAACTGGGTGTGGGCTGGAAGATGAAACAGGTAGTGAGTGAGGCAGGGCGGTGGTGCATGCCCTTAATCCCAGCACTCGGGAGGCAGAGGCAGCCAGATCTCCGAGTCTGGTCTACAGACTGATTTCCAGGACAGGCTCCAAAAGCTACAGAGAACCCCTGTCTCAAAGAACCAAAAAAATAAACACACACACACACACACACACACACACAGGCTGTGGCGGCGGTGGTCTTTTGGCTTACATCTTCATGCTCCCACCCACCATGGCTGCTGTAGTCTGTAAACATGGTTGAGGCCTTTCCATCCTTAGGGAAAGCTGCCCTGAGACAGAGATGTGCCCGGGCCTGCATTCCCTTGCTTCCAGCCCTTCTTCTAGCACAGACTGAGTTGCCGCCACATGGCTACTTCACCCCTTTCTGTCTAGTTGTCCCCTCACTCACCTTCCTCCTTCATTGCCTGTGTGGCCACTCGGAATGCACTGTCCTTCATGTATCCATCTTCCCCCGAGGGCTCTCTACCTATCCCTGTCCTTTCCCCCAGGCTTCCTGAACACTGGGCCCCTTGGTTAGGCCTCCATCGACATCCTGCCATCTGCCACACCAGGCTGGTCTCTGTCCCTAACAAGCACCACGCCCACTTCTGGTGCCAGTTTTAGACAAGCTCACTTTCTGAAGCCCCGCCCCCACCACTCCAGTTTTTTTGCCTTTTGCTCTCACTTGAAGAAGACAAGTGCCTCCAGGAGGGGCTTTCCCTGCCTCCAGCTGGAGTCAGGCACCCCGAGTCCCAGCCCTTCTGCTGGATGGTCGCACCGCCTCCTGGGCATGGCATATAGTAGGAATTATGGGAGAGGAAATACATTCTCAGGACCCATACCATTGCTATGCTCACGGCTACAATCCCGATGGACATGTCTGGCTACAGCCTGGACCCCTCCGCACAAGCATAGATAGGGATGTCCAGCTGTTTTCCAAAGATAACATCACTCAAATAGTGGTTCAAGATCAGCACCATTCAATACAATTGTATGTGAGACGCAATGTAATTTTTTTGTTTGGTTTTGGTTTTTGAAACAGGGTCTCTCTACATAACCTGTAGCTCACTATGTAGACCAGGCTGCCTCTAAGTCACTGAGATCTGGCTGCCTCTGTCTCCTGAGTGCTGGCACTGAAGGCCTGTTCTACTACATTAATTTACAATGCGATTTCAAGTTTTCCTTTGGCCACATTAAAAAAGCAAAAGAAAACAGCCCGATTGATTTAAATGGTGTTTTCTTTAACCCGCTTTATCCACAAAAGTTTCTTTCAGTGCATCATTAAACTTCACAAGTATTACAGAGAAAGTTCCCATTCTTTTGCTCACTCAAATTCTTTTTTGAGGACAGGGTTTCTCTGTATTGCTTTGGAGCCTGTCCTGGGACTAGCTCTGTAGACCAGGCTGGCCTTGAACTCACAGAGGTCCGCCTGACTCTGCCTCCCAAGTGCTGGGATTAAAGGCATGCGCCACCAATGCCCGGCTGCTCGCTCAGATCTTGTGCGTACTTTTCCACATAAAGTACATGCCAGTTCAAACCAGCCCGTTGAGCACACATGGCTGAGTGGCTGCCACATGCAGCACAGATCCAGATGTTGGGCCGCAGGTTGACACCTCTGTGTTCTCAGAACTTGCATTGTGGTGGGGGAGACATCAAAACGAAAAGAAAAAGATAAAGGGAGAGTGATGTCCCTGAGCAGGTGACACCAGTCATGAAGCTGCTTCCAAGAAAAGCATGCAGGTGTGCCAAAGCCACCAAGAGACCAGTGTGGCTGGAGTTCAGTGAGCAATGGCTGTGTTTGGGGGGGGGGGCGACAGGTTAACCAAAACCTAGAAACAGTTCTGCCTTTCTCCATTACTGGCTTCACCATCCTGTGGGCTGACCTGTACCAGCTGCTGCCCCACCCATCTTCAGCTGTCCTACAGGTCATCAGTCACCTACACATCTCATTTTACTAGGACATCAACTTCACTGCCATCTCCTGTGGCTCCTTTCTCCCCCTTGCAGAAGCTGTGCAGGGTCAGCTATGGCTAGGCTCCCCACAGCCTCTTCCGGTCCTGCTGGCTCTCCATCTGAACACTTCTTGCCAGCTTAAATTCCCCTTCACGGTGGAATCCTGCTCCTGCTATCCGTCTTGGCCTCTGCACAACCTCCTCTCACAACCAGACAGGAGCTGCTGATAAATTCTGATCATGAAGCACCCAACTACCCCCATCCTCCACCCATGGGGGACACACCTCTGACGGGTTCATCGTCATCCTGAGTCCCTCTGCTTATGGAATAAAAGGCTGTGGCACATCATGGAGCCTCTCAGTAGGGAACATTTGGTGAAGTGCTTGGGAAGCAAACAGAAAACCATAGGCTTAGCTGGGTGTTGGTGGCACAGGCCTTTAATCCCAGCACTCTGGAGGCAAAGACAGGCAGATCTCTGTGAGTTTGAGGCCAGCCTGGTCTACAGTGTGAATTCCAGGACAGGCTCCAAAGCAATACAGAGAAACCCTGTCTCAGACCAAAAAAAAAAAAAAAAAAAAAAAAAAAAAAAAAAAAAAAAAAAAAAAAAGTCAATTATGCCACAGCTTAAGAAACTGGGTCACGGTGATGAACTTCAGTAGAGACCGTGTCTAACAATCACCACGAGGAAGATACTGTCAAAACTTCCTCAGGAGGCCATAGTGATGACACCCCGTTAGCATTTTGTGGAAAGGGACCATGAACCTCAAGATAACTTCCCACAGTTTAAAACAATAAGTTATGGTCTGAGAGATGGCATAGTGTGGTAAAGTATTTGGCACATGGGCACCGGAACCTGAATTCAGACCCTCGGCATCCACCTAAAAAATAGGCTGGGCCCATTGGTGTGAGGCAGGGGGCTTCCTGTGGCTTGCTGGCCAGCCCGTCTAGCCACATAGGTAAGTTTACGACTCAGTGAGAGACCCAGCCTAAAAGATAAGACAGACTCAAGTTAAGCCAGACAAAATCTCCTCATGGGTTGGGGAGGGGGTCACCAAGTCGACAGCTCCTTGGAGGGGGTGTGTTTTCTTCGGGGATGCTCCAGCAGGTGGCCCAACACCCATGCACATACAGAAGCACCAAGTAGACTCTGTGAGCAGTGAGGTTTTACCAAGAGTACTTGCAGCTGGAGCGTGGAGTGGGGGGATAAGGGAAGGTACTTAAGGAGTAGAAATGGGGTGCATTTGACCAGAATTCATTATATACAGGTAGGCTGGGGATAGACAGAGCCGGACAAGTACTCCCAAGTCCTCCGCCACTGTTAACACAGCCCCCTTTCTGGGCTTCTTCCCTTAAGGTACTTATTAATGTACTGAACTTGCCCTTCTCTATGATGCCAAGTGACAGCATCCTCTTGTTTTTTAGGGCAAAGTTTTGCTATGTAGCTCAGGCTAGCCTGGAACTAGCTGTGTTGTTGGCCAGCCTGTCCTTGAACTTGTAGTAATTCTCCTACCTCTCGCTCCCAAGAGCATATTGGTTCTTGGAAGCCTGTATACAAGTATGTTAAAATGCTAAGGTAGAAAACTACTAGGGAAGCGGAACCATCCAAGGCCCCTCTGAGACAGTGAGGTAAATGAGCAGCTGCTGCCACCTAGTGGCTGATCCAGAAACGGCTAGGGCCTCCAGGGACAGAATCTTTTGTTCTCCCTTGCTAAAAAGGGGGTGAGGGGGGGCACAGGGGAGCGCCATTGGAACCCACCTCCAAGCACCATCATCTTGGGGTGTCTGATGCCTCTGGAGCCTCAGGAACTCAATAAAGAACCTCGGGTTGAGCAGGAACTCTGAGTGCAGGACCCTCCTCCCCACCTGCCACCCTGTGACCCTGGGCAAGGACACTGGCCTCTCAGCTGAGATATGCAGCAGAAAGAATGGAAAGCTCACATTCCAAGCTCTGCACTGCTACTGCCTATCAGGGCCTCAAAGTGGGCAGGGCAGTCCTTACTGGCTCACACAGACTTCCCTGTTGTCAGGACACCAGGAACCCAGCTCCAGGACATCAAGTTCGTAACAACTGGTCTGTCATTGGGTAGCATCCCTGTCTAGGGGATCTGAAGCCAAGGGCCGGCTTCCTTTCTCAGACTGTGAGAAGAGCCATTTCTCCTCCTGCTCCCCCTTCCCAGTCTGATTCTGTTGTCGACGAGATCCTCCCCGGGGCCCAGTTTGAGGTCACTGCCAGATTGGGGTTCTGAGACCTGGATCCTGACACAGGGCAACTTAAGGCACCAGCCAAGCCCTTGGCACTTAGCGCTTGTGCTTAGCCATTGAGGCCCAGAGCCTGCAGAAAGCCCCCCATCTCGAGTCCCCTGCCCAGATAGGGAGAGGAGAGGGTAGAGGCAGAGAGGCAGAGGCATTGTAGAATAAATAGAACTTTATTCTTTCTCCAGTAGATCTCAGTGGAAACCCAGCAGTAACAGGTACACCAGTGGGCTCCAGGGTTAGACCCCACCCAGGCAGGAGGGCAGGGTTAGGCCTGCTCCCCCAGCCCAGGGGTATAGGGGAAAGAGGGGACCCCCTGGAGTCCCGTCCTGCGGGGCAAGGAGGGGGCACAGGTGAGAGGCAGAAAGGAGTTGGGGATAGGCCAGGGAAATGAAGGAACTCAGGCCAAG